TTTTCACAGCATAATTTTAAATATTAATCAAATAGATATCATTAAAATTATTTCAATTTCCTAAATTTAAATAAAAAAGCATAAAATAAATATAAATATATATATATATATATATATATATATTATATTAATAACTATACTTGTTACCTGTACTTGTATGAGTATATTATATATATATATATTTATATTTATTATTATATTTTTATAATATTCCTTTCTACTATTTTTTTACAGCATACTTTATACTATTTTAAATTATTAATATATTATCATTATAATAACTAGTCATTGAAGCACCTTGTGCCTCTATGTGTTTATATAAATAAAAGATAAAATGTAAAATAACAACCATAAATAACAAAAAGCGAAAAGACAAAATGTTAAGACAGAAGTAACTGTATGCTATTACAAAGAAAGACCGTGATTAATTTACGATAATAGGGTACTAGCAATTGAAAATCAAAATTTAACTTAAGATGTAAAATTGAGCATTAGAAAGTGAAACCAAAAATGTATATTTTTTTTTATATATTGTTATAATTTTTTTTTTAATTTATAGTATTGATCTACTATTAATTTTTTATTTTAATTATAGATATAGTCACAACTGAATTTTTTAGATATTTTTAAAAAAAAAAACTAAGATAGTATCCAAAATAAGAAGAATCTAACACTATTTCAAATTTCACATTTTAACTAAATAACACACACACACAGATTTTCCTGCATTTTTCTCCATTACATGCAGATTTTCCTGCATTTTTCTCCATTACATAGATTTTCCTGCATTTTGATATCATGGTTATAGATCCTTGTAGCAAAATAAAGTGAAGAACAATTGCCATTAACAAACACTCCAACAACTAACAACACAATTTATAACAATGTCCAAGTTCCTTTATTTGAAGAAGAAAATTATGAATTTTAGATTATAAAAATGGAGACTTTGTTCACTACTTTGGATGTCATAGAGCTATAAAGATCAAGCTATTGTAGTTATGCAACATTCAACATTGAAGAAAAAGAAAATCACGGGAGTTCTTAGGATGATTCAAAGATATTTCCAAGGATCATGAGGGCAAAAATAACAAATGAAGCATGAAAAAGTCTTCAAAAAGAGTTTGAAGGAGATTTAAAAGTGAAGATAGTTAAACTTCAATCCCTTAAAAAAGATTCTGAGATTGAAAAAAATGAAAGTAAAGGAAAGTTTGAATGAATACTTCAATATTATCTAAAACTTGGTGAATCAAATGAAGCCTCATGGAGATACAATTAATGATCAAAGAATTGTTGATAAAATTCTTATTAGTTTGACTAAACAAATTGATTTTGTGGTGATTGTCAAAGAAGAAACTAAGGACTTGTCAACCATGAATGTTCATAGGTTGATGGGATCACTTAGATCTTATGAGCAAGATTGTTACGAATACGTTGAAATGTTAATTAAAAGTGCGTTTCAATCCAAACTCGTGGTATCATCTCAAAATGATAAATAAAAGAATGGTATAAAAGTTAATAGGAAACACATTTTCTATAGAATTTACTATGAACTTTAGTTCCCATTTAATACTCTCTTGGATAACCATTTTTCTAGATTTTAAACTTGTAGGAGATTTCCTGCCAATTTTCTGGCGGATTTTCACATGTGCTACAACCTATTTTGATACAAGGTTAAAAGTACTTTTTGAAAACTTTTTACTAAAAATAACTTTTTATTTTCAACAGAGAAGCTGTTAAAAATACTTTTAACTTGTATTTAAATAGGGTCATACTCATAGTATCATAAAATTTATAAAGTTGTTAGTAGTTTGATTCAACTGGTAAATTTCTATAAGAATCAGATCACGATATTTTCAATGGCATGCTTAGGCTTATAAAAATCTACGGATATTATGCAAGTATTCAAAGCATATGTATATGTAAGACAATCATCAAAGTCGAAATGATATATTATAATAAAATATATCCATATAAATTAGAGCATACAATCCTTTTGCCAAAATCAGAGCATAAGATTTAGAAACAGAATCTACTTATGCATGTTTATCATAGCAAAAGATTATATTTGACAAAGCATACATATTTATGCATATTTATTAGATCATACAATGTTACTAAAGCATTCAACGTATCTATATATCAGAGCATTAATAATAAAGATTTGAGCATGTATTTGTACTGAATAGAAATACTGTATAAACATAAGTAATTATAGCTAGCTCCCTCTAAGTTGGAGCCATTGCTCAAAAGACAGTAAACTTAAATGAAATA